ATTACTCTCTAGGAGGCCTCTCTCAGTACGTTGTCATCTCCATGTTCTGTTTTACATCCCGTCTGCCCAGATCCATCTGCTGTCTCTCGCTCTGTACCTAGATCACAAACTGCCTCAGGCAGTGAAACATTAACTTTGTGCAGTGCGCCAAGTCCTATATGCTTTAATAGAGCTACAGTAATCTAAATATTAAGCAGTAATACGCTTTAGAAAGAAAAACTCACAGATTTGTCTCCTAAAACATTCGGGATTAACATTTCAAAATGAACAGTGAAAAATATGTTCAAACTGTTCTTATATCATATCTTATGATTTATTTCAGTTTTTTTTTTAAATGAGTGCACAGAAGACCAATGAGTGTATATATAGTTTTGTTTTATTTATTAATTTTTTATGTACACTTGGTATTCTGCAACACAGTCAAAGGGATACAAATTAAGTTTTCAGAGCAAGATAAACATTGTACACATTTTAACACGGTTGTCATCTCCGAATTAGCAGACACTGACAACTCGGTAAGGACATTAATTCCAACTTCTTTATACTGGCAGTAACAGAAGAAAACTACAACACACTTAATAGTGTTGATAATAAGCTCTGGGGCATCCACAGCTTCTCTGGGCAGCCTGTGCCAGTGCCTCACTGTCATGTTAGTGAAGAATTTCTTCCTAATGTTTAACCTAATTCTCTCTCCTTTTAATTTAAAATCATTCCCCCTTGTCCTATCACTGTGTAAAAAGTCAGCCCCCTCCTGCTTATAAGCTCACTTCAACTACTGGAAGGATGCAGTGAGCCTTCTCTTCTCCAAGCTAAAAAGCCCAGCTCCCTTGGCCTTTCTTCATACAAAAGGTGCTCCAGCCCTCTGATCATCCTCGTGCCCTTCTCTGGACCCACTCCAACAGCTCCACATTTTTCTTGTGCTGAGGGTCCTGGGCCTGGATGCAGCACTCTAGATGGGGCCTCATGAGGCAGAGTAGAGGTCTAACTTCCCTATTCTGTGCACACACACAGTAAAACCCTTTTGTCATGCGAAACTTCACACCACAAACAAACACCAAGTGGTATCTGCCACAGGTATCCAACCAAGGAGGAGGCAACGCAGACCTGAGCTGTGCCTGCACGTGCACAGAGATCTCTGGGTTTATGTGGAGAAGGTGTAGCAGTCAAATCTGAGCAATACACTGGTAACATACCTTCAGTTTACTACTGGTCAAGAAAATTACTCGGGGAAAAAAAGATCATTTTGAAATGTAGTCAATGTAGTCAAGTAAAAAAAAAAAAAAAAAACCTCAGAGGGAAATATTAGATACAAATATATAGAACACCAAGGTAAACACTGCTAGAGTGCTAAGAGGAGCTCAAAGCGAAAGATGGGTGAGTGCTGAATGCATATGACTTCTGAAATGACAGCACAGAGAGTAAACGTGATATCTAAGATTGCACATACAGACACAGCTCTCAGAATATCCTAGGACTGCAACTGCAAAACACATAGATATTAGCTTTGTGGACTTTTGTGCAGCTCAACATCAGGAAACAGCCATGAAAAGCACATCCATGAACTGCTGCCACCATTTTCTGCTTCTGGTTTTGCTAAACAGTCTTCAGCATGCCTTAAATATATACTTCCAGCTTTTCTAGACTGAACTTCCTAAGGTCTGTTGAGAAGCAGACACTAACTAGGAAAGTTATTGAAGCCAAGTAGGACTCATCTATGTCCTCATATGTTCACAGCAGTTATGAGGGCTTGAACTACCGCTATGAGGTGAAAATAAACAGCCTTGGTTTGGATAGCTTTTGGACAAATTAGTGAGAGGATGCATCTAAAGTTACAGAGTTCTAAAACAAAATCAGAAGTAGCTGTCCTCATGTATGCTAATTCAAATCAAGACATTTGCCCAATCAACACACTCCTGTCTGATCCTTGTTTGTTATTTCCTCACCGTGGTTTATTGCCTGCTTCCTTCTGGTTTTAGCACTCAATTTGAGAGGCTAAAAAGTTTTAAACATTCAAATAGCAGAAAATAAAAGGCTTTCCTGTTTTAGCCAAGTTGTTTTGTAGGAAGCCATCAGCTGCAACAGAACACAGAAAGCCATGTATTTTGGTGGAAGCAAGAGAAGCTATGGGACTGATAGGGAACATCGCAGGATGAACAGCCTCTTCCTCCAAGTCCACCCACACCAGGAAGGCTGTGCAGTTCAGGAATCTAGTTTCCAACAGAAGTCAAATGTGGCTTACAGACTGCAGCTTCTCCAGATGCCATTTCAAGACTGATCTCCTGATTTGAGCTGCCCTGTGCAGAGGCATAGCCATGACGAGCAAAGAGATCCTGTGATACCAATCTCTTAACTTCAGCCCCTATTCTAAACATTTAAGAGTAGATGACACAAACATCCCCCACCTACAGAAAACATGCTCAAAGATCATTACCCTTTTTCTCCTTCTTGATTTATTAAAAAAAAAGGGCATAACTTGCTTGTGGTGCTGCATGCAGAGCAGAATCACTTACAGTTACTGTCCAGAACTGTTTCCTCGGTTGCTGGTCCTCTGTATAAATTAGTCCCTTTAAAATGTAACACAGGTTGCTGGTCCTCTGTATAAATTAGTCCCTTTAAAATGTAACACAGTAGCCGTTTGTTGTTAAACTCCCATTGTTACAGCAGAAAATTAAGAAAAATATTAAGTTTTGCTCCTATGTTCTCCACATGACCAGAAGGGGTGGATCCAGGGTGAAGCCAGGCTGGCTCATAAAAGGGCCAGCCACTGAAGGGAGAGCATCTCACAGATGTAGGCTGCTTCCTGCAAAGGAGAGCTGTATAGCCTGAGAGTCCCCTCACTTTTCGGGTGAGTTTAACTCTTCTTTCTGCATATGACTATTGGCCTGCCTGTGAATACTTTGCCTGGTATCACCAAGAATGTGTCAGAAGCAATTTCACTTTTTTATGAGCAGATCATTGGTTGTGACAAGGTAGGAGAGAGAGAAATCCTTTTGAAATGAATTCAGGCTTTATGTTTGCAGGTCTGAAAATGGCTCTCCTTCTGACAGTGCACACACACACACATACAGTGTGAGCAGAAAAACATCCCAGGCCATTGATGCACCTCACTTGTGCATCTGGTCAGCTTTAACACACCCTACATCCTTCGCAAGCCCAGTGAGAAGATGAATGCCAAAAGCCACAAGATGCTGAAGAGCTGTAATGGTTTTATGTTCACTAGGAAGAACTAGAATGAGATCATCAAATCAATTCTATTAAGATGGCTCAAGGGACAGCTGGTAATTAGGACTTGTCTATAAGTGAAAGTTAAATCAGAAAGTGCAAGTGTGTTCCCTTATGAACACACTAACTCCTGATGATTTTATGGTAGCTATTCCAAAATAGCTGCAAGCATGGTCCAGCCATTGGTTTCCAAATCACAAATAGCCTCTTCTTGCAAAGTGCTGTATATAGTGCAGAAGTCTATGGCATTGCCATGAGCAAAGTAAATTTAAGCAGAGCAATGTTCAGTCGAGAACCCATCTCTCAACGGTTAGCAGAAGACAATACTGACAGTAAAACTAGCCAAGAGCTGTTCACAATAGTATAATGGTAAATAAATGCACAAAGGATGGTGAATTTACCACATTAGATTCATTATCTCCCTAGAGCTTCCTCCCTTCCATTTGCTTATTTTCTCAACTTACTTGATATGGACACTGTTCCGCACAACATCCTGGTTGCCAAATTGGAGAAAAATGGGTTTGAGGGATGGATCACTTGCTGGATAAGGATCACTGGCTGGATGGTTGCACTCAGAGAGTTGTGGTCAATGGCTCAGTGTCCAAGTGGAGACCGGTGACAAGTGGTGTTCCTTGGGAATCAGTGCTGGGACTAGTGCTATTAAACTAAGGAGAAGGATTTGGGAGTGTCAGTTGACAAAAGACTCAACATGAGCCACCAATGCACTCCTGCAGCTCAGAAGGCCAACTGTATCCTGGGCTGCATCAAAAGAACTGTAACCAGCTGGTGGAGGGAGGTGATTCTGCCCCTCTGCTTTCATGAGGCTCCACCTGGAGTACTGTGCCCAGTTCTGGGGCTGCCAGAAGGACACTGAGCTGCTGGAGTAGGTCCAGAGGAGGGCCATGAAAATGATCAGAGGGTTGGAGCATCTCCCCTACGGGGACAGGCTGAGAGAGCTGGGGCTCTTCAGCCTGGAGAAGGCTCCGGGGAGACCTACAGGAAAACTGGGGAGGGACTTCTCATACGGACATGTAGCGACAGGGAAGGAGAAATGGCTTTAAACTGAAAGAGGACAGATTTAGACTAGATATTAGGAAGAAGATCTTTATTGTGAAGGTGGTGAGAGACTGGAACACATGGCCCAGAAAGGTTGTGGATGCCCCCTCCTTGGAGGTGTTCAAAGCCAGGCTGGATGGGGCTTTGAGCAACCTGGTCTAGAGGGAGGTGTCCCTGCCTTAGCAGGGGGTTGGAACTACATGATCTTAAAAGTCCCTTCCAACCCAAACCATTCTATGATTTGGTATTTCTTCAGTAGCCAAGAAAAGAGACTTCAAACAGTTGTGTTTTGGTGTTTGTTGGGTTTGCTGGCTTAATAGATCCGTTTGTTTCTAGAGAAGGGGAACAAAACATGGAAGAGAAAAACTTCATTCCTCACAAAGGATCCTCTACAATTTAAGGTGTCTGTCATAACAGATATTCTTAAATCAAAACAACATAGAGTCCCACAATTCAAACTAAAATAACAGTACTTTATCCATTAACTAAACAGACAAATGCCACTACTGTCTGTTATTACTGAATCTTCCTAAGAAGAGCCACCTTTTGCCAAAGTCCTTCTTTAAAGATCATGAGGCCCTTAACAAACAAGACTCATGCCTTGATGCTTCCTGATGTCAACTATCACATCTTGTCTTACGCACAGTAAGATTTAATTAAAGAGTCCTTTCATTATCAAGTCAGAAACTATTATCAAGTCTGGAGTCACAGAAATCACCATCTCAGTGAAAGACAAACACTTTTATTTTGGAAAAATGTTGACTGTGGCTAACACAGCATGTACAGATGCATTAAACCAGGAATCTTTAGCCTAGCAATATCAAAAGCTACAACATATGGAATCATTGCAAAAGAGTAATAATGAACATGGAAATCAATGCATAAAGCCACTCTCAAGCTCCATAGAAGAAAATGCTACATTTTATCTAGTTTTTGTAAATTAGCAGTCCTGCAGATTTCACGTGTGAAACATATCCCATAAGATGCAATAAGTACACACAGTATAAATTAGGACTAAACACACAATTTTGCAAGTGCACAGTGGGTAACATTTCTGATGACAGGAGAGCACTTAAAGTAGTCATAGTCTTAATTACAGCAATATGAAAGATTATAAAAATAACTGCAATATATTAATTATGTTTTCCAGTTAATCTCATGCATTTACAGAACTATACATATAGCCAGATAGGTAGGTAGATGATGTTTTAAAATAGAGAAAGGGGATGCATTTCAATTTAAGAAACAGACACCCTGGACACTGGCAAGGGACTCAAGAATAGAAGCAGTTCTTGGCATTATAAAGACAAGACTTTTCAAGTCAGCTTTTCTCCTTAATTTGCTTCCTTCTGGATAGATTTTCGAAAGTTGTGACATTTGGGGATGGATGTTGTTCTAGTTTTGATTTTTTATTTTTATTTATTTTTTTTTTGCTATTCCAAGGCTGGTAGTACAATGCTGAAAGGAATTAACCTCAAGTTAGTATTCTAAAGCAAAGTATCTAACCTGAGCTAAATCACAGCTTCCAGAGCCTCCTCAGGGAGGCCCCAGGAAACGATTCATTTGACTTTCCTCAAACTTCTAAGGAGGAGATTAATAGCTCTCTAGAGGTGCCCAGATTCCTCACTTAAACCAGATGTCTAACTTTCAGAGAAAAAGCACTCACTGTGTTCCACTCACTATGTACCATGATTACTGGACAGCTTATATCTGGAAAGGATGACATAAGAGCTCTAACAATTGGGCAAGAAATACAAGAGCTTCCCCTATTTTGTTGGGGTTCTTTCGGTCTCAAATTCGGATCTCTAAGTACATAGGGATTAAAAGTTCCAAACTGCTGTGAAAAGTTGCTCTTCTGCACAAGTCCTGCACACTAATGTACTCAATCAAGTGCATAATTTAAACATAAGCAACTTCATCCATGTCCAGAAAGCTATTTAGTCTACCAAAACAATTCATGATTATGAATACAAGTACACCACTGAATTAGGAACATCAAAATTTGGGAAGATGTTTTAAATGGTAAAATTCCCATAGACATTAAACATGACCAGAATGAATGACTTATCTCCCTGTATGACAGCTCATGCCAACTTCATTCATACACTACAGCAAATCCCCCTTTAATTTAAGAACAGGAGAACTTCACAGCATGTCACTTTTTTTTTTTTAAAGGCATTTTAGCAATGCATTTTTTAACATTCATTGCCAAAACACCTTTTACAGTGATTAGGAAAGATAGACAACATCAAAAGACAAGATTAAAAAAAGTGGAGTACTCTTAAAAGCAGAATTTAGATAATGTGACCGAGGGATGGTTGACCGTTGGAAAAGACCAGTCAGTTCCAGAACAATTGGCATCATTCACTTTGGATTAAATGAAACTAAAACAAATTTCCCTCTATATGACCACTTCACATGGAGAGAGACCACAGTAGTTATCGGACTTTGCATTCACACTCTACCATACTTTGTAATATCTCTCACCTGTAGACAAACAAAAGGCACTTTGGCAAAGCAACACAGGAAATCCAGCACACCTGTACTGCCCAGGCCCCAGGCTTTTCCTGTTGCACAGATGGAGAGAAACGCAGTCCTCTCCATCAGCTGTAGAACAACATTTTAAAACACAGCTGCTAGAAAACACCTTCTGCTGTTATGTGTACTTCGCTACAGTAATTCTTGCATGAAAAATGTTGAGATTTATACGTAAGTGTATATATAAATGTACATATGTGTGTACATATATACACACCAAAGTATAAAACAACTACAAAATACAGCAACTTACGTTTGCTTCATTGTGACATAAGGAAGGTCTAAAAGTATCTCATTTTCTTATCTTGGAAATATCAGAAATATGAAGTCCAGTCTTTCCTCGCTTTGCTGGAAGACATCTTGGAGGTATAAAGCCATAGCTAAAAGATTTTTACCCACTGACTGAAGGTTAAAGTGTACAATTATAGATGAAAGTCTTTCCCAATTATTTCTCAGCTATTTGCATTAATTACATTAGCAACAGCCAAGTTTTAAATAACCCAAATAAAGACTAGATTTCAATTTATCTTTCAAGTTACATTAGAGAACTTCTGATAAAACCAGCTTCAAACAGAAGGCACAACAGAAAAAAAAAAATCCCTTAGTATGAACAACTAAATGTCAATTTAAACCTCCTTTATACCACCTAAAAAGCAATAGAGAATGAAATCCTTCACACATACATGATTACAAAAACACTTATTTGATTCACTGATGCTACAGCAATGACTCCATACTATTTAGTTTACCAGTTTAAAGGCACAATGGATATCACTTCATCCGTATCCCATCCTATTTACAGTGGAAAAAAAGATCTCTTAAGAAAAACAAAAAAGATAAACACAGATGCACCCTGAGAAGTGAAATTTTTCAACAAAAACATTTAAAAAAAAATACTGTTCTTTCTAAAGTCCCATTATCCAAGCCTGTATTCTTCTACAGATAGGACAATAACCTTCAGTATTAAATTACAATGAAAAATATTACTTAGAGATAAAAAATATATATATTAAAAGTTCCCAGAAAAGTAAATCAACCTAAACCTGATTGAAAGAAATGAGGTTTCATATAGAATCATGTGAAAGTTGACGTCTGTCAGTGGGGAAAACAAAACCTGAATTTAAAGTTCTCTGACAATGTCCAGGTTACTAAAAACAAACAAACAAAAAAAAAGTGGAATGGATATGGCTGGAAATCCCATAGTGCCATCTGTGCAGAGGAAAAAAAATAAAACAAGAAGCCAACTGTGCACTGCCCTTTGGATCTGGAATTCCCAAAAGATTCTGTAACACTAGAAAAATCAAAAGAATGAGGTCTTTTTATAAAAATCAGATACGGGTTTCTAGTTGTTTTGTGACACAGTTTGAAAAGTATTGGCACCTGCACAAGAGTTCAGAGTGTTCATTCAGGAGTTGCAGAGATTGTCAAATCTTTAACAATTCGTAGCAGTCCTCTACCACTGGATGGTTTTTTACTGCGTGAAATGAAGTATTCTTTGCCAGTGGTCTTCAGTGCAATAATGTATTTCTGCCAGATGAGTATTTTCCCTCTTCTTCCAGTAGGTAGTAAGTGCCATCGCAGCAGTAACAGTGGAGCCAATATCAAATGACAAGCTGCATTTCATGATCCGTATTCATCAGTAATAGCTAAGTAGGTAAAAAAACCCCTCAATTCTTGATGTACACAGCAACATATTCTAGCAGAGGTATTAAAGAAAAAAAGAGAAAAGCTTCATCCAAAGAAGTGCAAAAGGAAGAAACCCTGTAAATAGTTCATCAACAGTTTTCCTTCTTCAACATTTCAACAGTGCTGAAGAGAGTACAACACTACTTAGAGCTCTCACCTCTGGGAAAGAAGAAAACACAAAAAAACCCAATCCAATACCTTAGACTACAAAATCACCAAAACACATTGCTCTCCTTCCAAAACGACTGTATTTTCATTGCTGTTTTACTACTTTACTACTTGTTCTTACTACTTGACAGATTTTATTCCTGTGCAAGGGACATTTGCTAATGCATTAACTTAAGTACTAGATTTTACATACTGTGCAAGATAATTAGATGTATACAAACCAGCCATCTTGACTGTGTAAAGAAAATTGGTCTGGAATTTTCTATACATTAGTTATGGACACTGTGTACAGCTCAAACTTTATATCCAACACCAAGAAGCAGCTGGCAATTTTCTCTTTCATTTCTGCTACGAGTTCAGGTGGAAGGTTCTTGAATTTATCTGTTGTGTCATTTAGGCTGGACTGTAAAACATCACTACATCTATTTCAGATGGAGGAGGGGATCAAAATCTATCAGATGCAGTTCATTGCCACAAAAAAAAAAAAGAAAACCTATCTTTCCAATCTATTCTTAATGAAGCTCAAACAGTTTTTAAAACAACTAATTGTAGACCTGATCATAAGATGTTATGCTGCAGACCAAATTAAAATGCTACCATAAGTGTGCATGTAGATCTGTACACATTTATATACACATACACACATATACATATAAATAAAAAAGGAAGCACCCTTTTTTTTTTTTTCTTACTGGTAAATATTCAACATTTTCATTTATCTAGATATTAACATGTTTGCTGGGTATAACACCCTATAAAGGGACACGTAAGATGTTTTTCATTTTCTTGCCATTAAAGCCATACATATGGCTAGTATTTAAAAACATGCAGTGCCACCAATTAACAGAGTAAAACAATTATTAGGTACAATATCAGCTCTAGGAAATGCATAATATATTTAAATTTAAAATGTATTTTACCCATTTGTGCAAATAATTAATATAATCCACTATTTCATAGGAACTCTTCATAAAAAAAATCAGCACAAATTCACAGGAAATAACTGTCAAAGGAATTCCATAGCAGCATATGTAGTGAGTCACTGGGTGAAACTCTTCTTTATGAACACATTAGGAAAGTTGGCATTCAGTTCTAGGACAACTCTGTTATCAATCTGTGAACAGAAGGACACATCGAGTAAAGAAAGATCTTTACAAGACTCCAACAGTTTTCTTAAAGATGCTGGGCTTACCATCCTCGTTCCTGTTTGAAAACAAAAAAGAAAGAAAAAAATGCAAAGTTAAAAAAGAATAGTTGTTTGTTTTAGAGCTGCTAATATTGCATGAAAAGAATGCTAGTAATGCAATGTTTATTTACATTATTTCGATTAGATTTCAAATGAAAAACTTCTCAGTGGCAGTCTTTGTATAATTTTTGCCTTTAAGAAGCCTGTTGCATTTTCCTAACTCAGCTATTCAACTAGATCGTTTGCTTCTTAGAAGAAACTTTACAACTTCAAGAGAAATTTCTAAATACAGAGGCTGACCAAAGTATCCAAAGCCACAAGACCCAGTGACTAGATCCTGTGCTTTGGCTAGAAGGAAAATACTACGCTACACTCATGTTCTTGTGACTTTTCTGCTGGCTGCAATGCCTGGCACGACACACACCGCTACAGGCTCTTCCAATTCCAAATACATCAGCAAGGCTTCTAGGACTCTAGAGTGGCTATAGGTATTACACCCATATCAGTTCTCTAAAGACTACTACAGACCTGGCAGACAGGTCACAGGACAGAGAGGAGACCCACACCTTACTGCAGGCATGTCCAACCCAAGGCCTGTGGGCTGTATGTTGCCTGGCACAGCTCAAACTGCAGCCCAGATGCATACCCAGATTGTTTAGCAACAACAAAACACTGCTGTCTGACCAACACTATCTGAGCTGACCAGGGCACAGGAAGGGCGCAGTGCAGTGCTGGCTCAAATTATGGCAAATAATTTTATGCATTTTGACACATTGGCTATGCACAGTCCTGTGAACAGCAAAAAAAAGGCAGCAGTGCTTTCTGTATTGATAAAGGAATTTGAGAATAAGTTTCAAGATTGCTAAAAAAAAAAAAATCAATTTTTTGGTATATTTGCAACTCCACCTTTAGTCTACGTAAGTACAGTACTCAAGAATTTTAAATTGGAACACACAGAGTTGCAATCAGATATTTGACTCAAAGGAAAATTGATCATGTCTCTACTAGACTTTTATAAGACCTATCTTATCTGAGAAAGATACCCCTTGCTTCACAATCATGTCGTATTCACATCATCACTTTTTGGCAGTACATGTATTTGTGAACAACTGCTGTCAAGGATGAAGCACGAGAAGTGTAAAATTTCACCAAAAAATCTCTGATGAACACCTTGAAAACTCACTGAGGATTGCAGCACTTTCATCAAACCAGAATGATGCATTTGCGTCACAAAAACAAACTCAAACAACCCATTAGTTGTGTCCTTGTTGCTTTTTTACATTTTAATAAAATATATTAAAAATAAAAAAAACTTTGTTGCCTATTACATTAACCACACCAAGCATTTTATTGGAGCCAGTGGTGCAATGGATAACACAGCTGGCTATGGATAAGAAGACTGTAGGTTCAACTCCTGCCTAGTTTGTTCAATTTTCCCCAGCACAAGAAGGATGCAGAGCTGTTGGAGCAGGCTAAGAAGATGATCAGAAGGCTGGAGCATCTTTCTTATGAAGAGGGAGTTGGGCTTGTTTAGCTCAGAAAGGAGAAGGCTCTGGAGAGACTTAATAGTAGCCTTCCAGTACTTAAAGGGAGGTTATAAGCAGGACTTTTTAAACTAATAGTGATAGGACAAAGGGGATCTAAACTAAAAGAGGGGAAATTTAGGTTTGATGCTAGGAAGTAATTCTTTACTCAGAGGATGGTGAGGTGATGGAACAGGTTTCTCAGAGAAGATGAGGATGCCCCACCACTGAAAGGATCGTTCAAGGGCAGGTTGAACGGAACTCCAGGCAGTCTTATCTGGTGGTTGACAACCCTGCCCATGGCTGGGAGTTGGAACTAGATGATGTTTAATGTCCCTTCCAACCTAAGCCATTCTATTATTGTATGACATGCAGCCCAAGACAACTCCTCTTCATTTAATGCAGCTCAGGCAAGCCTAAAGGTTGGACACACACTCCTTACTGGAGCAGCTGGTAGCCAGGCAAGTTATTCCAGAAAGTAAACCAAGCATGGATGTCTACAGTGTGACACACTGCTCAGTTTCTACTGACTCTAAAGAGCTTATGCATCCAGCAGGCCTGTAAATATCTACTGGCAGACATCTATTGGTAAAGCACTGACATTCCACTTTTTCTAAATCATTCATAACTTGATGGAATTCTTTCTTCCTCTTGCTTTATCATCTGGTTACTAAGTATCACAGGATCATTTTGCAAATCTTCAGCCTTAAGTTCCTCAGCTTTAGATTTTTCTTTCTTAGCTGCTTATGCATTATCAGCAAGTTCTGGTATGGCATTATTCACTCCTTTGCCTGTATTACTCATTAACAGATGAGACAGCACCTATCACATTATGGCTCCTTGGTGACCACAGCAATGACTTAATTTCATTGTGCAAAGGGACACTGTATTCTTATCCTCTACTTTCTTTCTCTTAAACCCCTTCTCCTAGGCAGAAAACAGCTTGTTACAGAAACACAACAGCCTTGGTAAAAACTTCTGAAAATCCAATACTACTCAGATTGTATCAGTGTTTATCTTCACCACAAACTCCAAGAAGTTCTAGGTTTGAAAGACCTAACAGATGAAAGATCTCACAGAGATGGAGCTCTCCTTCACAATATCTTAACACTCTTCACGTCCAGTTGCACGTTTTAGCCCTTCATTTCTGTAGCACTGAGGCCAATTCAAGCGACAAATCATACCAACAGCTTTGCACGTGAGCTCGTTTAGAACTGCTGCATAAGTATTAGTGCTAACAATTTATTACTGCTCAACATATTAATTTGTTCAAAAGCTTCCTGTATCAGCATTCCAGTTTAAGACAGCTTTGCAGGCTATTCTGGAGAGATTGGGTCTAAAGTTGCAGCCTACTTGAACCCCCTTGCAGCAAGCACTAACGAGATGTTTTCCTGCAACAGCCTTCTCATATCTGAGTGGCCAGACCACACATTGTTTTTCTACCAGTCTCAGTAATTCTCCTGTAAACTTCTTCCAACATACCTGAAATACCATTTTAGCACTGCCTTTAGCCAGTAGCTCATTAATGGCCCATTTCTGCCTTACTGTGATGCTGTTTCACCTTCTTATTTTCCTCCTTTGAACAGGACTCATTTCAGAAAGATGACTGTTTCTAGTAGTCTCTTCTAGCTCTCTGTTTAAGCATGGGGGTCTCTAAATGTGGTTTCCACTTATTCTGTGGTAGAATCTTGAATTAGTTACTTAGGAACATTACTCTGTCTCTGTTATCATGTCATCAAATTTTACCTCACCTACAGGTAGGTAATTAAGGTGTATCATTATTGTGACTTTTAACTCTCTTACCATCATATAATCACTGTCACCACAGTGGTCAGGTGATTGACATAGCAGTCCTATTGGCACACACATAAATTCTGTGATATTCTTGAGTTATTTACTTCCCTTAATCATAATTGTACCAGAGTACCATTTGTCCTATCAGAAGGATCTGCTCTAATGTTTCAGCTGAAACTCCAGGAAAAAAATTACACTATCATTCTTCCACCAAGCCTAAAATTGCTACTGCATTAGCATCTTCATTTAAAACTAGTTTTGTTTGACCATCTCAGCTTTTAAGATAAAAACCCAAACCTTTCTACAAAGTACTATATATAGATGCCTAGCCATTTTGTGTGTAGGAGGGTCCTCTTCATTTCTTCCTATCTGAACTTTGACAGCTGACCTATGGCTTAATTTAAGACTTTTAATGGATTTAGAACCAAATAGGTCATCCAAGTACAAGCTTTATTCCACCTCTTACTTTCTTCATCCCCAGACTTAAAATTTTACATTAGGAAAAACCTTCTCCAAAGCTAAAAAGGCTGGCCAGTGTTTGGTCATTCACACCAGGGAATAAGCAAACATCCACAGACTTACTTTATGTTATACAAGGCCAAATTAATGAGACACATTTCTCAAAAGCACATTCAAAAGCATTTCAGAAGTATAATATAGCATATTTTTTCTTGCCTTTCAGAAACTGACAACATATGCTAGTTAGCTACATTGCACATATTCCTACAGTTTGGAGGCTTCTGGACCTTTGCTATTTTACTACAATTTTTCCTACATTGCCCATTTCTTTGAGTAAATTCATAACCAGTGTACTAACATCTGCTTTTTTTTTCTCAGTTTATAGTCCTGAAAAAAAAAACTGATATCCTTTTCATAAAAGGCACTTTGAGTAATGATTTATATGCAAGAACAGTTATGTTTATTAGCTGTAAATGATTTCACTTACATGCATGATACATCCAAATCCTCAAATTCTAGAGCAGTTGAGCGTATGATGACTACAGAAGTACCACATCTGGAAAACTGCCAGTCACAACTTTTGGGGCAAAAGGTACTGATACACAAATGATAATTAAGAATAATATTAATTTTTTTTTTTTTTTAAGTGCCTTCAGTAATTTCATTTAAAAATACACTTAAATGAAACTTCCAAAAGGGTGCACAAGAACTATTCTCCCAATCACTCTCACTTTTCCTTTTCTTCCCTAACCAACCGGATTAGCCTTTTATTCTTTACATTTTACTCGACTTACAGCACTCTAATTGTAAGTTTAAATGTGGTGCACATTTATATGTTTGAATTGACTAGCTATGTGTTGATGCCCTCAAGAGAAAGCTGAAGATTTTGACAGCTGGCAAGGGGGCTGTTGGTTTTGCTGTTACTCAGAAATGTGTAGGACATGCTGGTATGCAGATAGTAGTATACAAATTCTGCAGTAACAAGGGTGCCTACTTTTTATTACTCTTTGTGCAAGACAGTGAAAGTTAAGACTTTTGGGAAATGAGGTTAATATGACTTATTGTTCATCCTTGATAGCAACTGGCACTCACAGCAACACAACCAAGCAGCTGATATGGCATACATTTGAAGCTATAGGCACTACCAATTCAGGTGGTCACCTGTCTTGACATGAGGTTTATGTTACAAGTTTTGTAACACTGGACATTGTACTGCAACACTATAAAAACATCAGATAATCATTGCTGGATCACTCTACATTCCTCAGGTGAACAAAAAGTAGGAGAAATAATTCTTGTATAGTCCACCCTGTATATTAGTGGAAAAGATGCAGGCAGAGAACTAGAAGATACTTGTAAATAGGCAGCTCAGTACGTAATGGGTAGAAGAAATATCAGAACTAGAAAAACTCAAGAATTTTCTTATGTACTTAGTGACACACTTACATCATACTTCTTCCAAATTGTATTATAAATACAGCAGATATGAAACCAAACCAAACCAAAACAGAACTTTACTCTCTTAAGTTTGCTTTATACACAATTTAAACAAAGCTACCCATCAAACAATGCTTTATGTGGGCCAATAATTTTACGCAGCCCTTGGAAACTGGCAATTTTCATCTTCTTTCATGGCACTGAATCAAGAAGAAAGGAATTACCAAACAATAACATGGACACTAAGAAAAGGACAGATGGGCAGCAAGCTGGAAAACCACCTTAGCATCCAGGGTACATATAACTTTTTTTTTTTTTTTTTTTAATACTTAAATGAAGAACAGTTCAACAAACTTTCTTTCAGAGGCTTAGATTTTCTTCAGTTCTGAAAAGAGTGGGAGTATAAATATTCTGTAACCGAACCAAGAATTTTTCCCTGCCACGTTTGTATGTTCTACCAGTTGAACAGAGAAACAAGCAAAGTATTGTCCACACTGGTGATTATGCTGCAAGGCAAGACATTTTGGTCTCTACTTAGGTAAGTTCCTGTATACAGCAAAACAGAATCAAGCTTTTATGCAGTATAGTTGAGACAAAGTAAGTTCCCTTGCTGCATGCACTGCTAACCCAGCAGTAATATTTGCATGCCCTTAACATACGCATGTATAAGCCAGCCATTTCTTTACTTCGAAAATGACAAAGGATGCAGTAAGAGAATCTCCCTTTCATTCACATCATAGAGAAGACCCAGTGTTCAAGGTTAATCTTGCAAAGCCAAGAACTGACCTCAAGCCTCCAATAGCTTCAGACCTGTTGTCATTCTTCTTTAAAAGGAAAAAATCATATTAAGAATTTACACAGTTTATAGTGATAGGATGGTCCTACATCAGCAGCCAGAAGTCAGAGCACGTAATGAGATTTATAATTTTCTCAGTATTCTTGTGATGTAAGAGACAAGGGCTTGGGTTCATAAAACAGATTTCTGAATTTATATTTGAACATCTGGCAATTCTACCTCTGGATGACCTCAGCAAGGTTGTGATTCTGCTGGACAACTCCTTCTCAGAACCACAGACTGTAATGTAATGGCTCCCATATTCAAAAGACAACACGAAGAGTTTTCTTACTAGTACCAAAAATAGCTGGGTCACTTCTTCACATACATTGTGAAGAATGTACTGACTGTATATAGTAGAGAAAAAAAAAGTTGCATTCTGCTAAGTATTCCTCTGAAGAAAGCAAGCAAATTATGGAAGTAAACACTGACATTTTTGGTAACAACTTGTGGATAATTCAACTGGATATCCTCTAGAGAGCACCCTGCTGAACACAATATGCAGTTTTATCAGGAAAGGTTGACTACAAACCCACTTGACTCAGTAATACTGGTAGGCACCTAGGGAATGGAAGAGAATTCCTCTCCACGTTCACACATTTTTCAACAAAAACATCAATGAGATGTTAAACTGAATTCAAATATGGCTTCAATTGTTAAAGGAGAAGTGTGGCAAAAACCCTTCAGTGCTGGCAGAGAGGCAGCAGAACTAGCAGACTTATCTGCAGGCTTAACACAACCGAGCTATTCATTCTGCAGCCTTTGGTACAGTGAAAAGGTCAGACTGATTTGTGGGCAGACACAATGCCATTGTAATAGCATGTATGTGGGTGGTCAGAAGAACATACATGTTTATGAAAGACTGTATTCACTATGCCTTTTGGAAACTTTTCATGTCTGAACTGTGAAATGTATATCCCTGCTAGTCTAGCTACAAAACATATTCCCTTAATCACAGGCAAAAGCATATATTACCACCCGAAAACTTATGCATTAATCCAGATTAATATGTACTAAGTGGACTTAAGTTTTCATCTGTTCATTCTCCTTCCATGTTGGAGAGAAGGTAGCTTTCTCATTTATAGATAAGTAAAACTATTTCATGATTAAAGAGCATTTACTATCTAAATTGTGGTGACAACTTGCAGCCATGTGGCAAATTTTTGTAATGAGAAATACTGATAAGCCTTAAGTTTGCTTGTAACATTCTTAGAATAAAAGGCACTCTGGAGCACCACTCTCAACCTAAATGTATTACTTTCTCAAAAAATTATTAAATACTGAAAATAAGCAACGCAGCTACTTTCTTCTCTTTAATAATTTAAATCTTCATTTTTCAATCAACCCTGTGAAAATAAGTTAAGATGAGGATGAAGAAAGTTTCCCTACATCAATGTCACAGATGTCCCTACCATCATTGTCACAGATTGTTCCTTTTAAAGATAATCTCACATTCTGCCACAGAAAGAATAAAACTACAATTCCTAAAGTCCTTACTCAAGAGTTCAACATGTTGTCATGGTTTTATGTTTTTTGGTTTTCAGTATTCCACATCAAAACATCATGTACTGGAATTAAAGTGTTAATGCTCCAATTCCAGTACCTATCCCTATACATTACAGAAGTCATGGGATCTGACCCTTCCAGGTGGGGCAGTCTCTTACTGCTTGCCAGTGGGTGCTGGAGGCTGCTTTCCTAGCTTTTCCAAGCTTTTCAGGTTTGACTCGGTCTCAGGAACTCTCTCTCCTGTCTTATTTGATTTATTAGTCTCAATTTCCATTAGATTGTATTATATTGTGTTATCTTGCATTCCAATATCATAGTTAGTAAAATAAGTTTTCCTCCATAGATTGCTGCCGCTGTTTTTTTTTCCTCCCTTCCTTCCTTCCCATTTTGTGAGGCCGGAGGGGTGGGGGGACAGGGGCCTACTGCCCTGTCACGGGCATAGATTGATCTAGTTAACGCCGTGACACATGTATTTAGTTTGGATTTCCCAAACTATTTTTAGCTATAGACACCACAGAGAATTAGAAATCTAAGGTTTGATGCATTCTTTGCACCTCATCATTTCTTTCCCACCTCAGTGGTAATTCATTTAAAGTTTTTTTCTTAATAACATTTTTCTCTTTAAAGAGACAAATTCAATTCCTGTTAAAAGTGACAAAGATTGTTAATACTGCTCGGTGTACCTATACTGTGCAAAAGCAGAAACCCATTTATTAATCAGGAATTCCCACTATCAATATACTTTGTCACACTTCATAGAAACTAAAAAACAAAAGCAGAAACAAGAAGAAGAGACTGGATCTTCTGAGAGCAAAATCAAAAGACGTCCATTAAATATACTGATTATCATGAAACTAAAAGTTACTGGAACAAATCCACACAATTCTTAGCTTAACATATGCAAGTAAACAATCAAATTACACAATTAGTAGAATCTAAAGGATTTAGGTGTCAGAAAACCATTGCAGTTACTACTTCTCTCATTTTTTTCACAAGCTAAGCCATATTTTTTATATAAATATATATAAATACGTTTAAGGCAGCAGTTTGACCACATGGATTCCTTTTATAACTTGTGGGCTTCTGAGAACGGTAAAATATATACCACTATTCCAACATTTTCTTACCCAATATATCTAGCTGCCGTAAATGAGTACAGTTAGCTGCGAGCTCTTCAATGTCTGTGTCACACACAGACCTGTTGGCCGTAAGAAAGAGCTTTTGCAGGTTCGGGAGTTTACGCGCAAGGTTTGTGAAACATCCCGTACTGCTCTGTAACGTGGGGCACCAGCCGAGATCAAGTTCTTCCAAAAGCTGGCAGCCTGAAGCCAACTCTGCTATTCCATTTTCAGTTATGTTTTTACATCTCCACAGATCCAGACTGCGAAGCTTTTTGCATTTTGCTCCCATCATGCTTGCTATAAGATCATAGTCTTCAATCTGCAAGGAAAATAAACACTTTGTCATGTACACCGCCCTTCTAGACGCACATAGGTGTTTCAAGATTTACTTGCTAACATATCCACAAATCCATCCTAAGCATCTGTCACTTCTAAAGAGCTCTGAAAATTACTCACTGTACACTGAGGTCTACTCCTACATGAGACAAAAATAAAGTTCCTATTTACTCCCAGACATACCGTGCTTTTATATTCACTTGACACTGAGGATCAGTGAAAATGCAGTTAGAAGTTCATTTTCTTTGAAAACTCCCTCCTTCAAGAGATTATTAAAATTGTATTTATGACAATAGCAACTGTAAGTGTATGTGCATTAAAGAGGGCACCTATTTCCATTCTAGGTTGATCATCTGCTATACTTCCTTATGGAAGCAGACAAGCCAAAGGGACTCAAAGTACCCCAACTCCACAGGTAGAAGGAATGAAATCCACTATCAAAAAATCATAGGAAGACTAGAGTTGTTGGAAAAACACCACAGTGCCTTCCTCCTCTGTCCATGAGTCAAAGTGGGAAAGGCTGAGTCAATTCTGCTTTGTTACTTGCTTCTGAAATTGCAGGGAAGTTTACCTGATGTGTTACCAGATGTGTTTATCACCAGAGACAGCAAGTTAAGTCCCAGTGCATGCAACCCTGATATGCATATTCAATAAAGTTTAGATGAGCTCTGTGCAGGGATTCCAAGCCCCATACTTTCTTTAATTCAATGTGTGTGCCCAGGAAGTCTACATGACTCAAATAGCTTCTGTTGAAAACATTCTCGTGTTTATGACTGTAGTGTCACACACAAGTGTTGGCTTGCTATGAATTATGACTTGGTCTGAATTTCCAAAAAAAAAGTCTTAATTATTTGCTTTGTTGACTATGCACATAGGAAATGTCCCAAAATTTAGGAAGAGGATGAAGAACAATGGGAAAAAAAAAAGTGCAAGCTAGATTTAAGCCTATGAAACTGGTATACAATCTTTAAAAAGATGACTAAGTTACATCTAGCTTGAATCTTTCGGAAGTTTGATCTCATCTAACATCAACCCAGCATTTAACGCGCCTTTGTGAAACACGGATCCAGGTCAAGTTTAGAAGTACAGGTGTGCACACCTACACAGCACTTCAGCTACTCACCATGACACAGCTGCCCAGGCTGAGGTGTTGAAGCTCTGAGCAGAAGTTCAGGATACTGAGCAGGGCTGTTTGCTGCCACCAGGGAATGCATCAGAAGGAAATATGGAACGTGAAACAAAGAGAAGAGGTCAATTAAGCATTAAAGGCTGTCATTGCATTTCCTGAAACACAGCTCAAAACTCTGTTACAGACACAACAAATGCCACTTAATGATTCCCCAGGTAATCTGCCGATTGATTGGCTTAAAGAAACAGTAATCATTACAAACCTTTACACAAGTCACTTCGGATGTGGTTTTGAATTGCCCTGAAGATACCTATCCACTCATGACCTATCAGCTCATTTCCCCCAGGAAAGCTGCTGAAGAATAAGTGTGGCAAGTTCAAACAACAGGCAAGGCCAGACCAAAATCACAGAGGGCTGGTGACACACCAGCAGAACAGCAGAGCTCTGACATTCTCTCATCGGCCACAGCCTGATGGAACTGCCAATAGAGCAGCGCAGCATTGGGACCGAGCTGGTGACTTTAATGTCAAAGGAGTCTCCGTGCTGACAGGGATGCTGACAACCATTGAGCACCTGTCACTACCAGCATGCGGGCTGAAACAGATATAATGTGTACTTTACAGTCATGTTTCTGCCATTTATCACAGCCATTCTTTTCAGAAAGTACCGCACATTACTAAGCCTGAAATTATACTGGAACACAGATGTATCTTACAAAATGCTAAGTACATAGCTATTCTTTCTACGACAAGAGAAACTTCACGGTTTTTTATCTGCATTTCTAAGATAGAGGAAAGACTCCTCTGCATTGTTTGTAGCCATATTCTGTTTTGTGGTTTGAAATATACACAAGTGCAGAGAAGGACACAGCCTGGGATTCAAAACAAATATCTGTGCACCATACTTGAAACATTTACCACTTAGTTTTTTGTAAGCTTGAAAACTACAGTAAGTTCCATAAGATATCAATAACTAAAGTCAGTGTATGTATATAGGATACATAACAGTGTCTCCCAAACACACACTCAAAAAAAAGCAGTAAACAAAGGACAAAATCAACTGCTAACATGCACAATTCCTACAGGAATACCAGTAAACAATCTGTAGACATGTGAACTATAAAAGATATCTATCTATATATGCTAATTTAAAGTAGCTTGTTTTCACAAACTTTATGGTAAAATGCTTTACTGAGTTTTTCAGTCATTATATTCCAATGAAACTCAGCAGGAACATTATCTTTTTTCATGGCACTGTGAAGAACTACGTGATCTCTTGCACTGAAACACTGGCAGATGCAGAACAGAGACAGTGGGTAGAGTATTCATGGAGACCATTCCAGACATCTAATTTAGGCATCTCAAGGGAGCAATTAGAAACACCCAACAGTTAACATGGATAGAACTTCAGCTGCCAGCTTGGCCTTCTGAGATTTGATTTCCCAAAAGCAGCCTGAAGGCTGAGGATACAAACAAGCCTTCCTCACAAACATCTTTGCAAAGGTCTTACAAAGCCACAGTCTGCTTGCTCAACTGACTTTCATTTATGTTTTTAAAGAGAAGGGTAAACTAGGGAATTAAACATAAAAGCATTAAAAAGTCATTATAAAAGAGGTAACACTTAGGAGCACTTTAAAGCTAGTAAATGTGTAAATATCCAATATGTTTAAACTAAAGTACTTATTAAGTAAGCGCTTTATTTGTAGCATTAAAACTGAATAAACGAGCAACTCTAATAGAGTGAGACATCCTTTATTCTTTACCTCCCTGAAAGCTCTGTGCTTTAGAACCTACTCAGACTTCCAAAATAAATAAATAAATCCTCACATCTCTCTATAAATCTTAAATATCAAAGCTAAATGCATCAGTCTCTTAACAGCCAATGCTAAGCAGGTTTCCTTCAGGTGACTCTACAATAAAACTGAATAACTCAATGTATTTGACCACGGTTTTTTCTGCAATAGTTTCTAAAGTGAAATTTAAACAATGGCCTGAAAGGACAGAAAGCAGCAATACTTTTCCTTAATTGACATAATTCAGAAGCGTATAGATACTCTGAGCAGACTGTAGGATGTAAGATCTATTCCATAATGACACTCCTTCAGGGAAGAGTGAAATAGGTAAGGAGATCAATATTCATAGTGATTTTGATCACAAAAGTAAGCTAATGTGAACAGGAATTTGGTGACTCTCTCAGAATACTTTAGTCCAAGGGAGTCCTTCCTGTACTATATGCACTGAGTCCATATTTTCAGAGGTCTTTTCACAACTTGTAATAGCTAAAGTATTACTTTAAAGAACAATTTAAAACTAAACAAAAAAAAAAGAGAGAGAAAAAAAACAACAGGAAGAAGATAAGCACCAGAAACGTGAGTAATAAAAAAGCATCAGGGTAGAATACCACAGCATACCATCACACAGCCTACCAAATCTAGCCCAAGAGTAAACAATAAGTTACTCAACAGTAGCTATACTCAGCGTAGGTTAATTCCTCTTCTGGAGTGCACACATGCCTCAACACAAGAAAGCAGGCTTTCTTCAGAAGTTGCGCCTGTTCTTCAGTAACTGGAGGCTGTTTCTGCATATGTCAAGAGGAAAAAAAGAAAGAAAAGAAAAACAAAAAACAACCACCTTTCTTTGAATATGCCTACTTGAGCCTCAGTCAATTGCAAATACAGGTGGTAAAGGACATCAAAATAGCAGGGAAGAATGGCAGCTCACAGAATCCATATGCACTGCACATAAAGAACTACCATTGTAATAACCTGACTCTGTTTCAAGCCATCTGTCTGTACAATTCATCTCTCTGACTTGTCTTGAACACAAGATGAGTGATAACATTCCTATGTAAGCAGAGAAGAGTGAGGCAATCACCTGACCTTGAAGCCGTAAGGCAGGCCAAACCTCAGATGTCAGAGCTCATTATAAGAGGAACACAGGCCACCTAAATTCTGGACTAGCAAGCTTCAACTGGAGAGAATCCAATTGAACTTTCTCAGCCAAGCAGAAGCTGTCAAATCAAAGACTCCCCACATAACACTTCATTTGTGAGCTTAGTAGCCAAGATATGCATAGTTTGGAGACTTTCTAAGGTTGCCCTGTAGCAAAGGTAAGGGCTGGTTTTGTACCTGCTCCCCTTTGTGCACGCTCAAACTGCAGAAGGAAAACAGTAGACACCTCAGTAGTCCAAATTTCTTCTGCCAGCCAATCAAAGCAGTAACTGGTGAACAGTCAATTTTTATAAGACAGAAAAAACAGCAGGAAGAGGAGTTCTAAGCAGCCAAATAAGATCCTATTATCCATTTCCAGGAATGGTTTTCAGATGATGAAAATGCATACAGCTGAAGCCATGCACAAATTGCTTGAAGAGAGAAGACTGGCATCAAGCTGCACAGAAGGATGACACGATACTGCTGTTAAGCACAGCCTTACAGAACAGATTATAGAAATATTTTAGGGCACAACAGTTAGTCCCAAACCTCAGAAATGGAAAGGAGACACCCTGAAGAGTCTCTGAAGTCTTTAAGAACAGGCTAGACTAACATGTCAGAAACGACAAGAGTTGATCCTGTCTTGGACAAGAAGAGAGAGATTACCTTTTGAAATCCTAACTCATTCCACACGAGACAAGAGTGTTCTGCCCAAACATGAATAAGTCTTTCATTTGGTAACACAGCTGGCCTGGAACACGTTTCTGTACTGTGTATACCACAATTAAATAGCTGACACTGGACTAACTTCCATCCTATCTGCCTTTGTAAAGACCTTAAACATCACATGTACATTCTGACTTGCAAGTTGCAAGAGTGCAGCTGGCTTGAATGAACAGTGGAGAAATTGAATACTGGAGACAGAGTAATACACATAGTAAGACTGAATCCTGCTGCAATTTTTTCAGGACTTTTTGCATTCATGTTCCAACCAGAAGTGCAAATTATTTCTGATGTTGGTATGATAAGGAAAGCATCCAAGAGATATCCTGAGATTAATATCCTTTCAAACAGAAAAGCCCCTTCTGTCCATAGTACACTTGGCTCACTCATGAAAGATGCTCTTTCAGTCTTGGACCATCTACTTGCTGCAGTTTCACCATCAAATCGTCCAGAATATAAAAGAAATGCTTTAGCTTTTTACAAATACAGAAGGTGGTTATGATATACTGGCTCTACCATAATAAGAAAACAACTGCAGTGCATTCTGCCTATGGAATACTAATGGAAGAACTACAGAAAAAATAACGTAGTTTTACTCCTAAGGTTGGGATAGGTCTACATGTTTTTATAAAAGCTTTATAGAAAGATCTTAAAAACAACTTCTACTTTTAATGTTGGGAACAAAAAAACAGACTGCTTTTTCTCCCCTACAGTGCAATCAGAAGAAGCATGTCTGACACAGACTGGAAATTCTTGCAGCCCCCTCAATAAAACAAGACAGCCTAAATCCTTTACAAGACTCTGTTCTCCTGTAATTTTATTTATTTATTTATTTTTTGATTGAAGTGAATACTGACAAAATCTCAAACTCTGATAAAGACTGCTTTCTCTATTCTTTAAACTAGACTTCCCTTGCTTCCTATATTTTTTAATCACTGAATTACTAAATCTCTGGCAATCACACATGAAAAATTCTGAGTTTTGCATGAATACATATTTCACCATAAAAATTTCAAGTTGGAGTACAAAAAAAACTTAAATTTCTTCCCTCCATAATTGCCTTATATGAAAGGACAAAGTTGTTATTATTTTTCCTTATCAGTTCCCAATGACAACCTCATCTCCAATGTTCCCTGCCCCATGCCCCCAACCCTGTTGTTTCCGCTTACGTTCAAATAGTTATATAACATTAGTCTCAGGCAAATATCAGATAACATGCCTATATTTGCAGGCACAATGAGAATATTGCATTTTTCCATAATATTAAGGAATTAATTTAAGAGAGTTCCTAAAGACCACAATTTCTTTTCTCATATTTCAGTTACTTATCTCTCCTTTAAAAACACATCTTGAAGAGCCCTTGCAGCGAGTTGCTCTTGCATATGAATTTATGCAGCTGTTATATTTAATACCA